TTGCCACAATCTCTGCCTGAGGGGGGTGCCTGAGACTGTACTACCAGCGGACCTGCTGGTCTATATCACGGTTGAAATGCTGCTGGTGGACCGGGTGTCCTGTCCCATTGTGGAGGCCCTGCATGCAAATGGTATTCATGATGTGTTTTACACCCCACCTCCTATAGAATGTAAGCTCAATTGAGCAGTGTCCTCTTCAACCTATTTTTCCCGTAAGTTTTTTGTAATTGTCCTATTTATAGTTAAATCCCCCTCTCATAATATTGTAAAGCGCTAAGGAATCTGTTGATGCTATATAAATGGCAATAATAATAATACAGATGGGGATTCCCAACCAAACTGCTGGTCATCAAAGATGGGGGATTGAAGGCCATATTGTCCCCAAAGACAGTGCCCGTAAGCTACACTCATGGGGGATTGATACCCATCAAGGAGATAGAGGGGTCTCACCCTCAAGAAGACTCCGTCTAGAATGAAGCAAGATTCCCAATGGTAGCTGACAAGAACTGTGTCACGTATTCATCCGCACATAAAAATGTGGTTAATGGCATTTACCGTACTGACAGGAAAAGTTGTGCCGAGCAGCATTACCGTCCTGAGCAATCAGCCACATGGAAACCCGGTAATTGCTTTTGGGGGTGAAAGGCCGGTCATGGCCAATCAGATCCACAGGAGGGTTTGTGCTGAGCAGCAATTATGCACATGGAAACCTGGTAATTGCTTTTGGGGTCAAAGGCTGGTTACAGCCAATTGGATCCACAGGAGGGGTATTTAAACCCAATTCTAATTTTGCTCATTGCCCTGTCGTGGTTTCATCCTGATGGTAATCCGAGAGTGCGTTCCTGATCTTGATTTTCTGGTATTTGACTTTGGCTTTTTTTTTACTTGCCTGAATTCTGGTATCCTTGACTTTTGGCTTTCCCTCATCGTTGGGTCTGATTCTGTGTTCCTGACCTCAGCAAGTATTTTGACTATTCTTGGATACATTAAGTCCGGCCATTCTAAGGTCCGGTTATACGTATATATAGTCCTAGGTGTGACACAGTTCTGCGTGCTGGATCAACTTGTAATCCTGACATTACGACATGGCCATAGATCCTGCAGAATTGTGTCAGCACATAGCAGCTTGTGAGAGAAAGCTAGAGGAGAATGATCACCTTATGGATCAATTTGCCCAGGCTTTTAGCACGCTCCTTACTAGGACGGCTCATTTACAACCTGAGGCTTCTCCAATTATGTCACCGCTGCCTAATGTACCTCCACTTATAGTATATAAGGCACCTACAATCTCCTCCCCGCATTTTTCTGGTATTATAGAGGAATGTATGGGATTTCTCAATCAGATTGAGTACCACTTTGAGGCCTCACCTGGTTCATTTCCTTCAGATAGCGCTAAGATTGGGTTTGGGCTAATCCGTTATGGAAAGTAATAGGAGTATCGGTCATTGTTACCAGGAATTCCTTGCTGAATTCAAACTGACGTTTAAACCATTAGGCAGGGAGGAAGACGCCTCCACTGCCTTAATGCATATCAAACAAGGGTACTGTAAAAACTATATTAAAATAAAGTCCCAGATCGCTATCTGGATCGGCTATATAGCCTGTAATGTAAAGTCCAGAATATAAAATCCAAAACGCGTTTCACCTTGTAACAAGGCTTCCTCAGTTGGCTGTGTTGATTTACTTCTCCTCTTCCTGATCTTTAAATGCCCGCTCTTTGCCAATTCAAATAACAGGCGGAGTTTTACCGGGAAATTTCGGAACAAACGGGATTGGCCATTCAAGGATTTAAAAGTCCATCCTTTCTACAAGGTATCTTTTAGCCCCTGACGAAGGTGCATCAGAAGCACCAAAACGCGCGTCGGGTTCACATCAACAATGGTGGCATTAGCTTGTTAAGCACTTTATTTTATTTTTAGTTTGTTTCCAGCACTGAGCTACTGTATTAGAGGGGGGACAGGCTGCAATATCCTCTTTACTTTTCCTCCTTTCTTGTAGGGACAGTATAGAACACCCTTGAAGGTGTTTGTTCTTAGGAGTCACAGGGAATATATACCTTTCTACTCTATACTGCTTCTCTTACATATATGCTGCTCTGTTAAACATTTTTTCATTTGGGGGGGGTGGGGGGGTTGTGCCTTGCTATACACTATCAGGAGCCAGCATAGAACACCCTTGAAGGTGTTCCAATATAGGATTAAAAGGGCATTTGTACCAATTCTTATACATATACATCCCTTTCCTTTATGCTTTGACTGCCTGTCTCTATGGCTATTTATTTTCACCTCATTTCTTTGTGGTTAGGTATTATATTCCTATTTTAGGTTTTGGTCCCTCTATAGATATATAGATATTTCATCCATTTTTTCTATTTTCATTTTGATTTTTGATAGACCATCTATAGTGCCCTCTTATAGAATCACAATAAAGTACTCTTTCAATGTATTTATTTCTGTGGCACTTTTTTGGAATCAATATATAATATATCATATTATAGATCAATGGATCATCGTTTTCATTAATGCTCAGTGCTGTTTTACTTCAGTCACAATACGTATTAAGTATTCCTATTGTATTTAAAACCAGTTTTGAGTCTCACTCTACTGAGGCTCTATTATTTTCTATTTTCTTATATTCTATTTCGGGTACAGGCCCTTTACTGGTGGATCTAGAACCACCATTCTGACCTACGTGAGTTCCATTCTCACAATCTTGTGAGTTAGGGATACACACGTTTAATATCCTACATATCACAAACCAACTGGGTGTCACTAATAACCATACTAAATTGCAACTAGTCTACTCAAATATCATCAACATTAATTTAACACCATTTTATTGTATCATTGTATCACCCTTTACTTCTCATTTAGCCATCCTGCAGATCGGTATAATTACGTAGGGCCCTTATTTGAAAGAAAGCTGTGGATCGCGGAGTTACCACCAAGCTGGATGGACACAGAAAACATTGTCTCCTTTGCATTTGACCTGTAATAGTCATATAACTAACCTTTTAGTGCCCTATATTGGCAAAAGCTGATGCCTGCCTGAGAAGGGGGACCAATTGAACATCTTCCTACGTGAGTGCCAGATCTCATCCTACCGGTGGACCTAGCGGACAGGTTGACAAATTTTGTGGTTTTGCTTTTGGCTTTAGTGAGAGAAGATGGGTTTGGTCTGGCCAGGCCTCTCTTACGTATACCCAGAGCTCTGTATTGCTCCCATGTGGGTTGGTAGGGGTTTTCCCATTCCCCACCAAGGGCGCTGTGCAAACATTCTTGTTCTGGGCAGTATAATAAAATGCCTGAGCCCACGTGGAGGATATAAGATGGCCACTGTCTGTGTTCCACTGCGGAGTTTGGAGGCTGAGTTGCCTAAGCAGCAGAATTGTACCTTCCTGGAGGCATTCAATGACATGTGCACATGATTTTGGAAAATAATTGATGACCAATAACGCAGACTCACCGCTTCTCTTGAACGTCCAGTTCTCACCGTGACATCCAGACTGCCAGACGAGGTCGCACCAGAAGTGCCCAACAAGGGATTTGAACCTGGGTACTTTGTGGTCCTGGAATATAAAACTAAAACAATACAGGGCGCCAAAATCACCAGATAAATAAATAAAGATAAAAAAGGATATGTATAATGCAGTTTATTGAAAAAACTAAAATAATGAATGCACCAACAATGTTCAAATGATAGAACAAAATATATATAAAAAGCCTTAATAGGCAAATGGACCCATAGGTAAAGCAGCTCAGAATAACAAAAAGTGCAAATGTTAAAGTGCAGACTGTGCAATAAAGTGAGAAAGTGCAACTCTCATCACTCTAAAAAATGATATTCACCAGTAATGTCCACAAACAATCTCATAGGCAACAATTTTGTAAAGCAGAAACTGCTGATACCAAAACTGGAGGGTCCCACTGTGGCTCAACGCGTTTCGTCTCTCGGACTTCGTCAGGAGCTTCTTATCTTCATCCTCTTCTTTCCCCCTTTTTAAATCCGCCGGTCCGCCGGTCCCCTGGTGATCGCGCATGCGTACGTCACGCGCAACGTCATACGTAATGACGCACACGTATACGTTCCTGATATATGTTCCTTTCATACATCCTGATATATGTATATATATTTCTCTTTTCCATATTTTCTATTCTTCTTCATATTTACATTTATCATTCCCCATGAAGCCACATTTATATTCCATTTGTGGGTTAGTTATAATTGTTAGTATTTAAGCTAGCCGCCAGGCTTTTTTATGTAAACACAGTTTACAAATATAAAACGATTGCCCTTGATGTAGGACACTCGGTTGTCTTCTGTGTATAGGAACAATAAAGTTTATTTGCGTTCCAGGGTGACCGCGCATGCGCGGAACGTATACGTGTGCGTCATTACGTATGACGTTGCGCGTGACGTACGCATGCGCGATCACCAGGGGACCGGCGGACCGGCGGATTTAAAAGGGGGAAAGAAGAGGATGAAGATAAGAAGCTCCTGACGAAGTCCGAGAGACGAAACGCGTTGAGCCACAGTGGGACCCTCCAGTTTTGGTATCAGCAGTTTCTGCTTTACAAAATTGTTGCTTATGAGATTGTTTGTGGACATTATTGGTGAATATCATTTTTAGAGTGATGAGAGTTGCACTTTCTCACTTTATTGCACAGTCTGCACTTTAACATTTGCACTTTTTGTTATTCTGAGCTGCTTTACCTATGGGTCCATTTGCCTATTAAGGCTTTTTATATATATTTTGTTCTATCATTTGCACATTGTTGGTGCATTCATTATTTTAGTTTTTTCAATAAACTGCATTATACATATCCTTTTTTATCTTTATTTATTTATCTGGTGATTTTGGCGCCCTGTATTGTTTTAGTTTTATATTGTATGATTAAGGGTTGAGTGACCTTTTACAGTGGCTTGCCTGCACCTAGATCACACAGCATCTTACCCAACTTTGATTTTTTATCTTTGTGGTCCTGGGCCTGCTGTTTCTCCTCTGAGCCACCATACAGCTCAAGTAATAGTCTGAAGTTTGGATCTTGCCTTGTATCCAGCACTGGGGGTTGGAATTTACCTGAGACTGCTCCTGTCACTCATGGTTCACCTGTGGCTAATCACTGATTAGACAGGTATAAGACACTGCCTCTCCCTGAGGGCAGGGTCAGTTCATTGACTCTGGTTTTCGTATTGCTGTTTCGTGTTCCAGTGTTCTCCTGTTGATTCCTGACCTTGGCTTGTTATTATCGTGTATCCTGATTTCTGGCACCCAGTGACCTTTGGCTTACCCACACGATTCTCCTGTTTATGTCCATATCTGTACTGCGACTTGGAGCATCATCCTGCACAGCCCCCGTGCACAGACTCACAGGCCAGGTGAGTTCTTACCTGGCCACCTTGGCCTGTGTTTAATTGCAAGGGTGAGCATATATCTGCGCTACAGACTCCCAACCAAGGTAAGCCGTGACAGTAACTCACTACGTAGGCCACACCAAAACTTTGTCCACACACACAAAGGGCACGCAGTCCATGTGCCGTAACTGGTGGTGTACAAGGACTTTCACAGGACTCTGACTCTGCCTTTGAAGGTGGGGTTAGGGGAGATTGGGTGCAGGCTTCAATTGTGGAATGAGAAGGAACACAGAGTTTGGGACACACTCTTAGCTTACATCTCTTGCATCCCTCGCATCTTGGGGAGCTTCCTTGGACCCTGCCCTAGTCAAGGCATTGACTGATCAAGTGCGGCTACATAAGAGAGTATAATGTCACTTGCCACAAATTCATGAGTCTACAGCGGACTATTTGTGCAATTATCTTTTCCTTTGCTTGTGTTTTACAATTTCTTAGTTGACATTACTTAAGCTTTGCCTATGGTTTACCTTTTGTTATAACTCATGTTACCCCAGTTATATAAAGCTCCTTGGTGCATTTAATATGCTCCTGTCAGGGTGGCGGTCCAGTGACCCATCGGACGACTGGGACCCAGTATGCCTGATGTTGAAAGTAGGAGTCACAGTGTGGAAGTGGATTAGCAGGGTCTGGTGCGTTTGTGCGGCCACATACCAGGACCCTAATGCAGCTTCAGCTGATACCAGGAACTAGGAGCTTGGATATAAGCAGACCTCCCAGGAGCTGAATAGGGAGGCTCTGCAGCAGAAATGTATCCAGTACAGAAACAAGGCAAGACTATAATAGACACCAAACAAGAAAACAAGACAAAACCAGGAGAACCCAGAACCAGAGAAGGATAGGAAGCTAAACCCAGAACATGTACACAATACATAAGGGAAACATTAAAGGACCACTCTAGGCACCCAGACCACTTCAGCTTAATGAAGTGGTCTGGGTGCCAGGTCCTTCTAGGGTTAACCCATTTTTTTTATAAACATAGCAGTTTCAGAGAAACTGCTATGTTTATGAATGGGTTAAGCCTTCCCCCTAATCCTCTAGTGGCTGTCTCATTGACCGCCACTAGAGGCGCTTGCGTGCTTCTCACTGTGATTTTCACAGTGAAAGCACGCAAGCGTCCATAGGAAAGCATTGTAAATGCTTTCCTATGCGACGGGCTGAATGCGCGCGCAGCTCTTGCAGCTCTTGAACAATAATAAAACACACACAGCACTTACCTGCAAGAAAAGGCAAAGGACTTGAGCAACTGCCTGCAGGAACCAACTGAAACAAAAGGAATCATGGAAAAGGAACGGATGTGGCAACATAAAACAAACATTTAAAGGAATCCAAGAGACTGGGAATTCCAGGAACGGAATACAGGAATGAACCCTGAAAACCCGTCATAAAGAAAACCAGACATGGAATAGAAAACCAGAAAAAAACAAGAATTGTAAAAAGAGTACTGGATACCAGAAGCCATAGCCAGAATGATCTGCAGCTAGGAACAGGATGACAGCTCCTCGACTTTAGCATGGTCGCTTTTTATTTTCTATGAGTCAGCATCAAGCTAAACACGCACCAGTTGTTTAAGCCTCATTATATTATCTCATGCTCCAAGATTGGTACCGATACAAAACCGATGTCAAGGGTAGTGATGTGAAAACTGCCTTGCATTATTTACTGAATTGGATAGCAGCATTGTATACCTATTTTATGTTTTTATTTTTTTATTTTACACATGACACGCCTGTTGCCTCTACTAATTACCAGTATGATATTTCTTTTCATCTAATTTCATTTCTTTCCAGTTTCCTAACTGTTCCTTACCATATCATCATCATATCATATGAAAGCTTCTTTCTAAGACTTAGTGTCTAACATACACTACTAGCGAGCACCCTCTTACTAACTTAGCAGCTAACCGTTACCTACACTTGTCTGTAATTCTTCCACATATGATGACATGTTTATGTTGATTCTCTTGTATTATTAAAAAAAAAAAAAAAAAAAGAGTGGTTACCCAGTTTGTTTGAATAACATTGTCTTATATGAGATCTGTATGGAAAAAGTCAAACCATTAATATAACGAGAATAGTTTGTGTGACATTGTTGTAACCTGGTAGCCAAGGAGAGTGGACGGGAATGTGCATGCGTGAACAATGATGATGACTGTACAAGTCAGATCGGGACGCTAGACGCCACAGAGTGATGGTCGTTGCTTTCAAAATGACTGAGCGACTAGAGCAATATATCTGCATCAAATTTTGCATTAAGATTGAGCATTCCGGGGGGGCGTGGCCAACTGCCGAAAGGAGAAGTCGCATGTAGAGACCGCTCCGTGCTCCACTAGGCCCAAAGCGACATTTTAGCCACGGTAACCTGGACATAAACGAGCAACAACAGTGGGTACAGTGCCCAAGAACGATATGGCACCCTCCAAGCAGACAAAAATTACAGACCCGGTGAGGCAAAACAAAAAAGATAAAACGAGGCCGGCGCAAGATGGCGACGGCCATGCTGCCCGCCCGACATCACCAGAAAGCCAAGAGGCCCTGGAATATGACCCACCAACACTTGATGAAGAACTGGTCACCAACAAAAGCCTTCATGCAATGCTGCAGGCACTAAAGGGCTCGCTCAGAGCTGACCTCCGCCAATACACCAACGAACTGAGGAAGGAGATCACTGAATTGGGAGGCCGCACTAGCCACCTAGAAACGAAAACGGAGGAGATATGTGCAGCCCACAACGATCTGGTGGACAAACTGCAAAGCTTAGAAGAAGAACAAAAGTCCCTTAAGATCAAACTGGCAGACATTGAAGACCGGTCACGGCGGAATAATTTGCGCTTTAGGGGCATTAGCGACGCTGTCACCAATGAGGCTCTCCCTCTCCACCTCAAAACCCTCTGCAAGCTATTGGTCCCACAGGTGGACGATACCGCATGGGAGCTGGACCGTGTCCATAGACTCCCGAGACCAGCTCGCTTCACAGATGACACCCCTAAAGATACCATTGCAAGATTCCACTATTACACCGCCAAAGAGAAATTGCTAAACGCAGCAAGAAAACTTGCCAAATTTCCCGAACCGTATCAGAATGTCCAAATATTCGCTGATCTCTCTGCAACAACGATGACGAGGAGGCGGGAATTCGTGAACGTGACCAAGACTCTCCGGAACCACAACATACCCTATCGGTGGGGATACCCCACAAAACTGCTGGTCTGGTACCGGGACAGATCCGTCACAATCCTTGAACCGGAGGCGGGTATGGAGAAACTAAAAGAGTGGGGTCTACATCATGCGCAAGGGAGGTCCGCTCCAATCCACAACTCACCGCAGAAGTTCCTGCCAGAGTGGAGGATGGTTGGGGCTGCTGCTGCCTCGCAAAACCGGGACTAATATGAACACTTCATTGGAGACTGTCGGCACGCTCGGCACATAAGTATTACCAAATGTTATGTTTAAGGCGCAATGTTTTATTAAGTCTCATGGGTGGGTTAACGCTAGTATGATCAACTGGTTAGATCACAGACAGCTTATACTGAATCCCTCACTTGGTTGGGCATTAATCATTTTACTTTATAAGAGGAGATTCACAATCCCCCAGCATTCCCTTGTTTCCGCTGAGCGCAACGATGCCAATGTTATTAATTCATACTCCAGTCTGTAAAAGTGCAGCAGATCCATTCAAGACCAGGCATATACTAGAAGGTGGGTAGGGGGGGAACATATGTTAGTCATATAAGCTGTAGCACTCGGGGAGCAGTGTAAGGAGCCAGATCCCTCAAGTGATGGTGGACCCTATTGGAGCCTCGTGCATCCCCAGGAAACTCCACTAGGTGTACTAGCATAACAGCTCCAAGCAAGGAACGTTAGACTCACACCCGGGTTGCAACCTCCTCCCACGCGATTTAAAGGCAGGGACCACAAACCACAGCAAATACTACAATCTGAGTAATGTTCCAATATCATCAACTCTGCATAAAAAAAAAAAATAAAAAAATAAATGAAAAATATATACCACCCCATTTGATAATATGCCTCGGTCCAACCCAGAAGAGCAAACTCTGGTTACCCACAAGGTGCTCAATCTCACTTATATTCCATAGGGCCACCAACAGTGGAGACGACTCCACGTTCCCCCTGCCGATGAAGAGTGTGGCTCTCCATCACTCGGATTCGGAGATAAACCCTGCAGGTAGCAGGGATGGCTTGTTTTTTCCCTTGGTTCCCCAATTCTTCCCTAGTTTACTTCCTTCCCGCCCCCTTCTTAGACACAAAACAAAATGGGTCGTATATAGTACTCTGCTCATGAGACTAGCCCAGTGCATTAAAACGACCAGGTCTCCCACTCCTATAAATGCCACCGTTTCGAGTATACTCAAAAGACATATAGTTTTTACCATCAAATGACTCAAACTACATTTAAAATCCTCTCCTTGAACGTCAAAGGACTGAATAGCCCATACAAACGTAGTCTAGCAATTAGGGATATGCACAAATCACGCGCTGCAGTGATATGTCTCCAAGAAACTCACCTGTGCGTTAACAACCCCCCCAAGTTCCAAACTAAGCGATACCCCCAAGCCTTCCACGCATATTCCCCAAACAAGTCCAAGGGGGTTTCCATTCTATTCCATGCGGACTGGGCATTTCAACCATGTGACACTTACGCAGATACAGCAGGACGACTCCAGGTTTTGGTGGGCTCACTCAATGGTGTAGAAATAACCCTAGCGTCCCTTTATGCCCCTAACGACGGCCAACTCCCATTCTTACGCAATGCACTTAACAAGATAGATTCAATGAAACGAGGACA